AAAGTAGTCAAGACCTTTCTTTTGGTTATACCCCTTAATTGCAAGGCGAGGCTTGTATTTATCAATTGACCTATCAACTTCCATCTACCTTTTGAAAATCCACTTGTATCCAAGTTGTTTGAACCTTGGAGGAAGATCAACCAACTCCTAAGTATGTTTTTGTAGAATAGACTCAACTTCACCATTTATAGCCTTTTTCTATAAAGGTGCTTCAAAATTTGATATTGCTTCCTTAATCCTTTGAAGCTAATTTTCTAACATAAAAGTTAGAAAACCTAGACAAAGAGATTTAGATGTCCTTAGTCTCTTTCCACGTCTAGGCTCATATTCCTGTTGGTCTTTGCCACTTTCCATGGTGGCTTTAAAAGTTCGTTTATTAGAACTTGGCTTTTCCAATTCAAACGACTTGGCTTGCTCAACCATTATCTCTGTATCTACAGGATTTAATTCTCTTCATCCTTTTTCCAAGGAAAGATATATTCGAAAAAGGATGCATTTCTTGACTCAATAATAGTATTTGCATTTATATCGAGAATACTTGATTTAAATACCAAAAACTGATATGCACTACTTTTATTTGCATAACTAATAGATACATAATCAACGGCTCGTGGTCCAATTTTAGTCTTTTTAGAACTAGGAACCGCCACTTTTGCCAAGCACCTTCACACTTTTAAGTAATTATAAGAACGTTGATGACCTTTTTCATAATTCATAAGGTGTTTGGTTAGTTTTCTTATGAGGTATCATATTTAGGACATAATTTGCTGACAAAATAGCATCTCCCCACAAGTTCTGGGGTAAACCCGAACTTATCAACAAGGCATTCATCATCTCTTTAAGAGTGTGGTTTTTCCTTTCACCGGCTCCGTTTGACCGAGGAAAATAAGGTGCAGTGGTTTGATGAATAAAACCAAGTTCTGAGTAAAACTCATCAAATGATGTATCATATTCACCGCCTCTATTACTTCTCACAATCTTAATCTTTTTGCCAAGTTGATTTTCAACTTCTACCTTATGTTGCTTAAAAGCTTCTGAGGCCTCATCTTTGATTCGCAATAAGTACACATACGAATATCTAGTTCAATCATCAATAAAAGTTATGTAGTATTTTTTACCACCTCTAGTTTGCACAAATTTTAAATCACCAATGTCGGTGTGAATTAAAGATAGAGGTTCAATACTTCTCTTGATTTTATTAAATGATACTCTAGTCATTTTAGCTTCAATACATACTTTACATTTATGATTAGGATCAAATAAAAATTAGGTAAACATTATCGATTTACAAGTCTAAACAAAGAACCATAATTTACATGTCCTAATCTATCATACCATAAATGAAAAGAATCAACAATATAAGCAAAAGATGTGTTCTTGTTATTAGAAGCAATAGTTGGTACAATAGTTAACACATTAAGCTTAAAAAGCCCATTAATTATATGGCCATGACCTACATACATTCCAGCCTTAGTAAGTACAACTTTTTCAGATTCAAATACGACCCTAAACCCATTCTTAATCAACAATAGCCCAGAAACTAACTTTTTGCAAATTTCTAGAACATGAAGTACATTATTGAGAGTGAGTTCCTTCATCGAGGTCATCTTTAGCACTACCTTCCCTTGTCCTTCTACAATTGATGTGGAGGAGTTTCCCATGAAAAGATGTTTGCCATTTTCTACCACTTCGGAAGTTGTGAACATCTTCTTATCTGCATAGATATGGCAGGTTGCTCCAGTATCCACCCACCATTCTTTAAGGTTGCCCACCAAGTTGCCTCAGAGACTATTGTAGAAAGGTTGATGTTTGCCAATCCATCAAAACGATCGTAACCTTTGATTATGTTGGTTTGTGCCAGTTTCTTGCCAGAACTGGCTCCATTCTTGCGGCTTCGATAATCCTTTGCTCGATGTCCATCACTACCACACACATAGCACTTGCTTTTGAATCTTTTGTTGTTCTCACCTTTGAAGCCTTGCTTGGATCCTTTGCCATCATGCTCTCTTCTTGTTATTGTTGGACCTCGAACTCTGTTATTGTTTCACAACATTTGTATTAGCCTGCATGACTTGGTTCCCTGACTTCTTCTCGGATTTACGGTTGTCCTCTTCAATCCTTAGTTGCATGATAAGTTCTTCCAACTTTATTTCCTTGCGCTTGTGCTTAAGGTAATTTTTGAAATCCTTCAATACTGGCTAAAGTTTTTCAATAATAGTAGCAACTTGAAATGATTCACTTAGAATCATTCCTTCAGTAATGATATCATGTAGGATCAACTGAATTTCTTGGACTTGATCAACCACCGTTTTAGAATCTAACATTCTAAAATCCAAAAAACGTTCGACAATAAATTTCTTTGCACGGACATCTTCTATTTTGTACTTCAATTCAAGAGATTTCCACAGTTCTTTGGTCTTACACAATACAGATTGCATAAAGAATTGTCAAATCCATTAAGTATGTAATTCTGACACAAGAAGTCACCTTGTTTCTAGGCATCTACCATAGCAACAAGTTGATGATCAGCGTCCTACCCTTTTGTCTGTTTCAGGGCCTTCTCACGAATGTACTGGGCCAAACGCAAAGTTATAAGATAAAATAACATTTTTTGCTGCCATATCTTAAACTCTATTCTATTGATTTTTTTTGGTTTTTCTCCATGGTTTATAGCGGTAGTACTGAGACTGTTGGGGTCAGGATCGGAATAATCTCAGCACTATCTGTTGACATGTTTCTGAAATTCACAATTTAGAAACCCAAATAAATATACACAATAAATAGTAAAATAAATAATGATCTTAAGTTGTAGGAAACTATTTATTAAAATAAGCAAACTGTGTGTATTTAAAAAAAATACAAAATTCTAAATAATTTCATAATGTAAATTATTGTTTGGAAACAAAAAAATTATTTTGTAACAGAATAATATTTCCGAAAACCACAAAAAGAAAAGAATAGGACTACAAACTATAAATAAAATAAAATAATATAAACAGAACTTATAGGATGTAGAAAATGTAGAAGTACAGAAAAAGTCGAGACGTGTTTTGGACACACTTTCCTTAAGATTATTACGTCCTCGCTGTGGTGCTCGAGAACAATGACGTTGACCTCCCAGGATGCAACGACTACACCTAACAACGCAACACTATGACATTGGGACTGGAAAACAGACTATGTTGTATTCTCTCTTACAGAAACACAAAAGAACAAATATGCAGAAGTATGCACTTAAGGAGAGAAGAAAAACGAATTATGAAATTGTTTGGGCAAGATCTGAATTTATAGGCAAGATGGTGATTGTTTAGATAGGTTTGGAACCCCTCTGAACAGGTGCAAATATGAAAATCGCCGAAATGAAGAGAGGTGACCAGAAAATGAAGGGATGCCACAGTTTAGGTTTGAATTTGAAAATTTCTAAAAAAAATTTGAATTTCAATTCGGAATTTTGAATTTTTACTCAAAAATTTTTGAAAAAATTCAAATGAATTTTGTCCAAAAAATTAAAGTTATGACCTAACCTACACCATGCACCCGGTACGGCCGGCCGAACAGCGACGACACGCGTGTAGTGGATTTGGGTCAAACCCACTTTGTCCATAACTCCCCACCTTACAAAACTTAGGGTGCCCCTTGGGGCCCATCCCAAGTATGCCAACCTATATAAACTCTCTCTTTGTTTCAATGTGGGACAATCCATTTAATTAGCAAACCAACTTTGTCTCTTCAACTTCCACTTTTACAAACTCGAAAATGACGTTAACTTCCCAATCATTTGGAAATGTTTTTGACGAATCATCTTCAAGGCATGATTCAACACGTGACAAAGAACATGTCACCACTCAGACCCACCTCAAATGGTGCATGGGTCTCGCGTCAATTTGGGCTCAAAATTGCTCAAAAATAAGCCTAGAAACTCAAAATTTCCAATAATCGGTTCGGGACGGTTGGTGTTTAGGTGAAATTTTACACCGAACCTATAATGTCGGTTATGTTATATTGACAGCCGATACAAATCAAATTTTTTACTAAATCGCACCAATTCAAACAGTTCGACTCGTTATGACCTTTCAAATTTGAGTTACTTCTTAAATTTGTAGTATAGTAAATAATTTATATAAAAATATTGAATTAGCTATTTTTACATTACTTCAATATCCAATCTAACCATTCACAAAAATACAAACAAAAGAGTTAATAAATACTAAGTGTTTAAGCTTTTGCTGAGATAGAATTAGAAACAAAATATAATCTGAAAACTAAAGTCTTGACACCAAAGTAAAAAGAAAGTTTAAAACTATCATCCCATAAGACTAAATCACAAATCTATCAAGTATAGTTAAAACAAAAAATCAAAAACGACATAAACATTTGATATAGTTATATAGGCATAGTAGTAGCAAAACTTGACTCAAGCACATACGAATGGCAAAATAACAATTTATCACATTGCCAATATCTATTGTCAAACGTGGAATATTTAAGAAAAAATAAATAATTAAGTGAATCAACTGAACTTTGTATTCATCCAATTTCATTATATATTTTATATATATTATGTTTAATATGTGAAACTTTTGGTCGATTTCGGTTTAATTCGGTGCACAAGGTGCGTGAATTGGTACCGAACCAAAAATCGAAAAAATTAATTTTAAAAACTACATAGACCGATTCATATTAAAAAAAAAACTTACCAAATATAGCCGATTTGATTCGATTTGGTCAGTTTTTCAATTTTTCTTATATCTCTAATAGTAAGATCCTAAATTCCACTTTGTCCATACAACCCACCATTAATGAACTGTGTGATCAAATCAAAGCCAATTATTTGGTCTAGAGCCATCCAATAATTTTTATATTTTTATATTTTTTTGTGATTTAATTTTTTATACATTGAAATGTTGTTTTATGTTTTCCACATTCAACTTCAAGACAAGTTGAACTATCAAAATTAATATATTCTTACACTCACCATAGTTTGTGTTTTTTAAGTGCAGATACAGTTTGGGTTCAATTCATGCTACCATGAGCACACAGGGATTATTGTGACAAGAGTTGTGTTAGCGTAAGAAGCATCTATATAAACTTGCATTTTTCATTGCCACCACCACCTATTTTAGTGCATAAAACTATTGTGAAATTATTTCAAATTCATGTTTGTTTTTCATTACTAATTCCAATATGATTTTATTCCTCAGGGTGGCAGTTCAGCTTCTTTGCAGCTATATTACACTTCCCCTTTATGCACTTGTGACACAGGTGAAACTACTACTAGTACAATTACTAACATGTTACATATTTTTACAATAATATTAATATTGAGAAAAATGCTAAGACTTTGAAATATGTGATCAAGTTCATCTTGAGTGTGGCTTACACCATACAAAATTCAAATTTATACTATACATTTAAATTTTGAGCATTTTTTGAGAATTTTTTCTTCTTGAATTTATTATATTTCTGTTATATAAATAGTAGAATATTGTTTTTCATATGTATCCATATATATGACTATGATTATAAAAATAAAATGCTATATAGCGTGAATTTCTATTTCAAAATTTATTCCAAAAATGAGGTTTATGGTGTTGATTTGAAGTTGGTAGGAGTTAGGCCACACCCAAAATGATAGTGGTCTTTACAAATATATATAGGGTAATGTTTGTGGAGATGTAGTATTATTGTTATAAAAATTAAGTTCTATTTTCACTTTAATTATTTTTAAATACACTTAGTCTGTCTTTCCATAATAAATTTAAATAGATATTTGGAAAGAAAAAGTAAATGCAAAAGAAATCAATAAAAAATTTAGCATATATTTTATTCACATATTCCTAAATCCTTTAAATGTATTAGGAATTAGGGATATATATATATATATATATTATCACAAAAAGGCAAATTTAGGATAAAATAGTGGAGTGAGAATAACATTCATTTTTTGTTGAGTGTAGACCAAATTCAAAATGAATGCAAAATATATTGCTAAGACATTTATTTGTCTGAAATGTAAGCCACATAAAATAATGGGTAAATTATACAAATAGTTCTTACACAATATATCAATTTGGTCTATTTTGTTTTAATTTGCTCGATCTTACTCCTTAATTTAACGGATTGTGCCATTTTAGTCTAATAAATAACGGTTGTTAAGCTTGGTGGACAAAAAGTCAAATTATGTATCAATTTAGTCTATGTAGTTTACACAATATGTTAATTTGGTCATTGTCAAAATCGAGCAAATTAAAACAATATGGACCAAATCGACACCTACAAGGACCAAATTGACATATTTTGTAGACTTTCCATCCACCAAACTTAACAACCGTTATTTATTAGAATAAAATGGCATAATCTGTTAAATTAAGGAGCAAAATCGAGCAAATTGAAACAACAGAGACTAAATTGGCACATCATGTAAACTATAGGGACCATTTGTATAATTTATCCTAAAATAAATGGATATTGGGTGCAATTTTTTGAAATTTTTTTTATGTATCCCTAAATACATAATAATGGATTGTTTGGTGACAGATGGGATCACAATTTAAGAGTAAGGTACTAGAAGAGAAAATAGCCAACATTATAAAGCAATGGCATGCCGAGGTGAGAGTGAAGAGGAAGAAGCAAGAACAATGTTCATTATTAACGTCTCCTCGAACTTCTTTGTCAACACCTGATTGGAGCCTCAGAAACAGTCTCACTGATTTCTCATCTCACCATCATCATCGACCCACTTCAACTACTCCAATTCCAACTGATCAAACCAACAAGAATAATTTCACTAATAGAGAAGAGATCACTGAAGAAAAAGTAGATACACCAAATGATCATCGAACACTAGACTCTACATGGCTTCCATACCAAGCTGGGGTGGTAGAATTGTCAACAGTGAGGCGAGATAAAGGAAATTGAAATGGTAAAGGATCCCGCTTCCTTTATTGTGGAGACAAGTTTAGTGGACGGTTCATCATGCGTTACATTTTAATGATATGAATTGTTCATTTTGTAAATTATTGTATGTAGAAATTGAATTAGGGGAGGCTTTCATCAACTAAGGCCGGCTTGAAATAATTTGAGACTAAAATGAGAATTTTAAATGAATTTTTATATATTTTTTAATATTCTTGTAACTTTTTATTTAAATTTTTTCCCCTCTTTTTGAAATGTAAAATAACTAAAAGATAATATTAAGAAAATTATATCCCCAATATAAGTTTAGTCATATGGTGATGATAAGATATTGACAATTTGTTATGATATTAATCACTTTTGCGCTGGGAGGAATTTGAGGAAATTTTTATTTTGGGTAAATTACAAATACATCTTTGAGGTTTATTTAAAATACAGATTGCTCCTTGTGATTTAAAAAATTACAAATACCTCTTTATTAGAATTTTTTTATTTAACAGAATTAACTAAAAAAACGAAATTCATAATTGCTATCATATATAATAATAAAATTACCTAAATTATTAATTCAAACATATTTTTCACATCATTAAAAATTGTTAATTGACTTGATGATTTATTAATAAAGGGGGCGATTTATTATAAAATTAGAAACCTCAGGAGGTGGAATATAATTTTCAAAACCATAGGAGTGATTCGTATTTTAATCAAATCTTAAGAGATATATTTGTAATTTACCCTTTTATTTTTAACTCTCAAACTATGACTCAAAAATCAATTAATGTGGCATCGAAACTTGATTTCAAATTTCATTTTACATTATCTCCCAAACTATTATCAAAATATCAATTAGACCCCTTAATATATAAAATAAGCCCTATTAATAATTTTCATTTAAAAAATGAGAAAAATTAATTTAAATATTAAAATTTACCAAAACAAATATTTAATTTAAGCCTCAAATTCCTTGAATCGATCATGAGAATTGAGTTCGAAATTCTAAGTCCACTCTCTCTCTTCCAAATTGAGTCCAAAACTCCGAGCCCACCTTGCGAAATTTATTTTTTTACAAGAATGGTATTCTAAAAGTGTTCTTGTGGCTCGACAACGAAGGCACTGGCGACATCTTTCTCCTTAACTCATAGTTTTTTCATATTTTGAAGTGGTTGTAAACCTCTTTTCCATCCAATCACCAATCTATCTATTATATTGTATGGATGTCACTATATACCTGTAGACATCCCATTTTTGATTGCCCTTACAACTTGCACGCCACCGAGTGATCACTCGATGATTAATTTGTATATGCTTGTCAAATGCTCGAATTTCTCAGCACGAAGCCTCAGTTTTGAGCCTAAAAAACATGCCAACTTTGCACCATTTTTTTTTAGACCAAAATAGAAGCTTTTCAAGCCTGATCATCTGAGACCTGCAAGCCCACTAGTGGCCGACCGGCCACTAATGGTGTACAACCAGCCCCTATTAGTGGCCTGCCGGCCACGTATGCAAAACCAGATATTTTTGGCCAACTATCTCCACAGATGAATGCACCATACTAGCTGTTTTTGTTTGGATATTTCTAAGAGTCTTTTATATATTTCTATATATAGATGACCCTCTCTTATGATATAGGGTTAGAAAAATTTTGTGGAGCAAAAGTTTGAAAAGTATTTCTCTCTCTACATTTCTTTCTCTCTCTTGCAACTTACATACTCTTGACCTAAACTCTCTAAACCAAACTTGGAGGGTTCTTTGCTGAGGTGTTTAAACTTGCATTTTAGCTCTTGAGGGTGTGAATTGGTGGTGTATAATTCAAAAAGGATACTCCTTTTCAAGAGGTATAATTCCTAGCTTTGTTTCTCTTATTTATCTGCTGTATTTATTGCTGTTTTTGGGCTTTTTTCACATGTATTTTTGGGCTGAAACTTGTGGTTTAAAGCCATTAAAGGTAGAGGGATGGATCACCCTTCTTTGAAGCTTGCTTCCTAGGCTTTTTGCCCTTATGTTTCCCTTCCTTTCATCAAATTTTTTTGAACTTTTTACCATTGAATTTCAGAGTTTTTTAGAGGTTAAAAATCATGTTTTGAAGTCCTAAAAATAGAAGGGTTAGCTACTTCTCCATTGGCTTGTTTACTAGCTTAAATTCTTCATTATTGTAGCCTACTCCTTTAGCTCTTTCGACTTTAATTCCAGCATTGTTTTAGCCTATTTTAGGACTGTTTTAAGTTGTTCATGTCATTCATGCTTTGTTTGATAGGCTTGTAGTGTAATGGTTTTCATAGGTTTGGTGTTTTAGGCCTTAGACACCAACTTATTTGGGTTGATAGCATTTATTTAGTGTTTTCCATAATTGTGATCATCTTTAATCACCTTTGTATCTCTCTCATTTCTTGGCTTTTCATTGCCTTGAGAGTTGTTTCAACCGATTGGTTGTTTAAGCTTGAGATAGAGATCATTGTACTTAATGGTTTAATCTCCTCAAAGATTCATTACCAGCAGCATGACATCTCCCTCATGCCCAAAACAACCCTTTGTTTGATATTTCTCTCCATTAGTGGACTCAATCTTCATTATTGGACTTAATTGACTAATGAATGGAAAGGTAATTAAAATGGAGTAATAAAATTAGGACTATAATGGAATGAGATGATAATATGGTTTGTGGTTCAACTGGAGATTAGTTGAACCCATTGAGTCTTAGGCCATTTCATACTTATTAGTGATGATAATGGTTTGAGAGTCAAATGTCAATCGCTTCCCTTGATCCATCTCATGATAGGGAGGAGGTTTTGTTGGTCATTTGGTTTCCCTCATTGAGATTTTGTCCAATCAAGCCATAGATCATCATACGATAACTTTGCAATTATTGATGATTTGAGACTTGGTTCTACCCATCCTTTCAGTAATTTCATGATAGGGAGAGGTAGAGAGGATGAATATCCCCTGAAAACACTCTGTTTTTGCTCTGTTCATTTTCTGTTGCATCAAGGCCATATTTACATTAGTGGCCAGTCGGCCACTGTTTGTAGTTGGCCGTACACTACTTCTGGCTGGCCAGCTACTTTTGTGTCAGTAGGCAGTGTTGTTTTCTTGCAAGGCGGAGCAGAAGCAGAGGCAAAACAGGAGCTTTTTCTACAAGCAGAACAATCCTGGTAACAAAACAAAAGTGTTTCCAGGACGATGTTCGCGTTGGCATGCACGGTTCACTACCCCGATCGAGTTCAATTAGTTGTTAATTTGTTAATTAAGTTAGTTGATCCTAGGTGTAATAATTAGTGAATTCTCAATCGTAACTAATTAGTTAGTGTAATTAATTAGTTAATTTCAATTTGTAATAGTTAGCTAGCGTAGTTAGTTTATTTCATTTGATTTTTAATAGTTAGTTAATTAGCTTAACTAGGCTATTTATTCGGACCCTCCTGCGCGAGAGCAAACTTGTAATAATGTGTATGTCCTCCAACCCCACGTCTTTCTCCCTTTTATTTACCTACTTATGATGGATAGTTTAGAGCATCACATTTTGTTTAGCATTTTCCATGATTTGCATCCATGTGTCTTGCATGCATTAGGCTCGTTCCATCATGCTAGCAAGCATTGTCATTTAAATACTTCTTTGAAAACGTGCTTAAACCGCATACTATCAAATTGATTCATATGCCATATTTATAGCCGAGCCTATTAATTGCATATCGCATGTGGATCATTAGGCATATTTCATTAGTTAGGACCATGTATTTTTGTAACTATTTTCTCTCTTTTTGCTCTCCTCAGGAATTGGGTAAGCTTTACTGCTTTAGCATATCGCATAAGTGTGATTGTTGCCATGTCGAGCATGATTCCCATGAGGCTAAATGCTTAAGTGCTATATTTGTTTGAATGCCTGTGGATGAAGGCTAAACTGCTTAAATTGGGATAATTTGAGTAATGTACATATGAGATCACTTTTTTAAGTGATACGTATTCAAACCTTTTTTTTCAACACAAACATGAAATCAAAGTGTTTCATTTTTTGCAAATTAGTCTATACTTGTGTGCGTCACATAGTAATGCTAGCCTAAATAATCGGAACAAGAGCATGTAATGTAAATAAGATTCACATCATGATTAGTAGAGGCCGATATTTAATCAGGCAAGCGGGGGTTCTCAAATCATGACCTTTCCCTCTCGTACCTAAGTTCCCGAGCCGAGACACTTTGTTAATGATGGATAAGTGGCCTTTGGCATGAGTCTTGGATTTCTTAAATTTTTCAAAAATATTTAGGTGGCGACTTTGTAATCTGGCAAAGCAGTCCATTTTTGAAATTTTTGATTCAAGGTTGATTTTCCAAAAGATTTGTCGGATTTGGACTCTTTTGTGTTTATTTGTTTCACATTGGACTTGTGAGATTAGATTCAGAACCACGGGAGTCAAAACTGTAGGGCTATCGTATCCGAAAAGAGCACGAAAGGCAAGCTACAGTTTCTGGTGACTTTGCTGGGGATTTAGAGAACTTGATTCGAAGTTTATGATGTGAAATTTTATCTACAACTATATGTTTTTTTGCATTGTATTTGCATTGGTGCACTTAAGTCATTATGTTTGTCATCTGCTATTCCTGGACAGTTTGCCAGAGGCTTGCCCAAAAGGCTGACCGGTAGTGGGCTCTGCCATGTTGGGAACACAACCCTTGGATCTGGGCTATCATTGTACCGTTTGATCCTCATTTCACTTCTCGATGTTATGTGTAAGAGGTATATTAAGTAATCTTACTGAGGTACCCTTTTGACCAATCGGCCTAGTTGCATATAGAAAAGCCATAGAGACTGTTCCAAACTAGGACATGACGCTCACCCGAATGCAGGATTGCGTGAAACCGCTTGATTAAAATAGTGAACGCTAGTTCATGATAAAAACTAGGACATGGTAACCCTCCCCCTTCATAGGGGCGTTTTGGCTCTTTCTTAACTGGTATATGCTTTATAGTGAAACTGTGAAGGAGTGTGCATATCAGTGGTACAGTTGGTATCTGTTTTGGGGGCAGAATTCAGTATGGAGTACAGGCCTACAGCTTTAATCATGTCTGTGTTGATAACGTCTTAGTTGAGTTGTTGTGCGATTTCTGAGTATTGCTCTTTTGCTTTATTTCTTTTGCTAGGTAGTTTAAAACCATAGTTTCAGAAAGTTCAGATATCCCCCAAGTACTCTGGACCCGAGTCGGAAGACTTTGCAAAGTCAGGGATCTTGTTCGGGGACAACCCATGTTTATATCACTCTCATCGGTTACAAGACGGAAGAGAATCAGA